ATACATTGAAGAGCTAAAGCCATTGCACTTGTGGCACAGAGCAGGCATCAAGGTAAAGTACACCTGTACCTGCCTCCAGCACAGCCAAATATTGCCTTTCTTACTCTACACAAACACACACACACACACACAGACATATGTGTGCGCACACGCGTGACCCAAAGGTCCTCCTCAGAGGTCCTCCTTCACACCACCCATGGTGCATGGTGAACAGAGCCAAAGGCCAGTTGGTCTGGTTGTTAAGGAGAGCCAAGTCCCTGAGATGCCAGGAAACAGCTTTTTCCAAGGCAAATTAGAGCTGGCTGTGCAATGAATTGGGTAGGGAGATGTGGGAAAAAGTCATTGGGGAGAGAATTAATCTCTCTCCTGGTTTGGAAAGATCAGCTACAGAGAAGTGGCATATTTTTGGCATATCTTTGTTCATCCTGTTTCTGAAACCCTGAGGGAGAAAAATAAAAGGCAAGTTGATTTCTCAAGATCTTGGAGGGGGCTTGCAACTAGGACAAGCTTCTCTTCTTACTGTTTCACCCTGTGAACCAACTGGGTTAAAAAATTAGTCTATCAAGGGACCTGCATTTATAGGTAGTAGCTGACTTGACTGTTGCCTTTGTCATTATACACAGATCTATGCATATTGAGTCAGTGTTATTCCTCTTTTTAAAAAGAGAAAAGGCACTGTGGCCAAGGTAGTTTGCCTCATTGTAGGTATAAAAATCTTTGAAATTGAAATGAGTTCTTGGTTCACCTCAGCCCCTCATAAGAACCACCTCCCAGTGAGAGGCGGAAGGTCAAGAGTAACTGAGGGATTTGGGAATCTTCAGCCCACCTCACCATCCACTCATGACATGTCCTCCTTGCTTCTTCTAGAAGGAGGATGAAGAGAAACAGATTAAATTGTCTAGAGGAGGCTAGGCTAACCGTGCACCTTCCACTGGAGGATTTCCTTCGAGTAGCCGGAAGTCAAGAGACTAACCAACATGGCTGTGGGTACTCACATCAATGCCACCTGTGAACACCTGCTACTTTATTGGGTTTCTAAGAGTTCCTGGGTTGTAGGGAGCCATTTGACACTTTCCTAGCCTAGAATTGGGTACATGTTGACAATAGAGTGTAGTGTTTTAACAATACCAAAATCATTTACATTCTGCTTGTGCCTATGGGAATAGCTGGCTCCATAGCTTGGTCCTGAGAATTCTGAAGTTCACAACCTTGAACCAGCTTCCAGATATCAGTCTATCTGTTTCCTTTCTCTTACAGTTTCAAAGCAAATGAAATTGTGTTTATTCTCTCAGCTCCTGACCAACTGCTTTGGTGAGCTGGTCAGAATTGTAGGCTGGCAGTTGGACTCTGGGCAAGTTATAGACGTACTGCCTCATTGTTTTGGACTTCTGGACTTGCCATATCTTTGCAGACTCCAGGCTACAGTTTTTAATTGCTGGTGCAGAATCTAGTGGATTCAGAAAGCTGTTGGGAAGCCAAAAGAGCAGGGTGTATTGATCTGTTCTTTCTCTGCAGTTTGCTGAATATTTCAAGTTTTTAATATTTTTCTCTTAAATATATACATCTAACATCCATCTATCTATATCTCACCAAATATATTTGACAAGTCAATGTATATCTGTATAAGACTGTCTAATCACCCCTTTGAAAGCACAAATACAGTATTATCTGAAAAATAATCAATATTGGTGTGAAAATGGAGGGCTATATGGTTAATCCAAAGGAGTATAAATTGACAGAGGACAGGACCTCAGTCAATGTTTGCAGAAGATATTTGTCCAGATCTTGTTATCAGGAGATTATCATGTGCCATTATTTATTCAGAAATGAAGGCTCAGCACCAGACATCACCAGAAGTTGGGACAGGGACAGTGGTCTAGGGATCTGACGTGACAGTGTGGTCGAGCACATTGGTTCCCATGTCTGAGAAGGGCCTGAGGAAGGTTATAAAAGCAGAGTCTAGAACCTGGCCCCATACTGCATCTGTCAGATCTCTGAGATGGCGCCCAAGCTCAGCCCTGCCTGGAGGGCCCATCTACTGTGCAGCTGGGCTTGAGGGCACTCAATAGAGAAGGACAGAGCCTGGGCCTGATCAGCAGCAAACCTGGAATGTGCCCCCAGGATCATCACTTGCGTTCCTTAGTTCTCCATCCATTTCTTTTTAAAATGAAAAGCATTCTTCCTGGTCTGCCTAGTTCGGGGTTGCTGAGGGTAATTCAATGAGAAGAAAGGTGGGAAATAAACATTTAGTTATATTACCTCCCTGAAGGTGACCATTATTATTTTCCTGTTCGGCTGAGGAACACAGGCCTTGAGAGGTAAAGTACTGTGCAGGGTCCCTATCTTGGGGATGGAGGAGCCCACATTTGAACACAGAGCATCTGGCTCGACCTTTGCATTGCATCAGGTGCTCATCTGAGACGTTAGAGGTCAGATGGACCATTGCCGCTCAGATTGAGGCATGTGAATAGCCTTGGCATCTCCTGGGGGCTCATGAGAAACTCCACACTACGTCAGGCTGGCTGTACTTCAGTGAGCTGTGCAGATGATCCCAGTACACCTTCAGGTTCAGAATCTTCCTTAGGGAAGACTTAAGATAGGGCTGGAGAGTTTCAACACAAGGTTACAACAACCATGCAGGAATCATCATAGTCCAACAAAATCCTAGAACCCTGAGGGATGAGCAAAGAAGTGGCACTCACCTCGGAAAGTCTGAGAAGCAGGTAACAGTAATAGATTTCAGCTCTCTACGGGGGAAGCTCTCCTCGTCTGAGAAAGACCTAGACTTCCTCCCCCATGAGAATGAGTTCTAAGACAGGAACAAATATTTTTGTGCATCTGTGTGCATGTGTTTAATTTTCAAAGGTAATAGGATTGCTTTTCTTTTTTAAAAAATGAGAGAAGAAAAACCAGGATAAAAGAGTTTAGCCAGCGAATACTGCCCAACAGAGGAAGGTTCTCCTCTTCCTGGCCTGTGAAAAATGTCATGCATTTCATTTATTTCTCCATCAGTCATTTATATTTCTGTGGTGCAGAGCATGCACCAGGCACAGTGGCCAGTTAGGTGAGGGAAGGTCAGCTTCCAAAGTGTCTTTTATATGAGTGTTGTCCCTGCATTAAATCCTGTCTTGGTACATTTTGGCTGCTATGGAAAAACACTATAAACTATTATAACAACAGAAATTTATTTCTCATAGTTCTGGAGGGTGAGAAGTTAAAGATCAAGGTGCTGGTAAATTTAATGTTTGGTGAGGGCCTGCTTTCTGGTTCATAGATCTCAGTCACTCCATGTGTCCTCACATAGTGGAAGGGGCAAAAGGTCTGTCTTTCAGGGCTCTTATAAGGGCACTAATCCTATTCCTGAGGGCTCTACATCTATGACCTGGTCACCTCTGAAAGGCCCCGCCTCATAATTGCCACTACCTTGGGAGCTTGGATTTCAATGTAGGAATTTTGGGAGGACACAGACACTCAGATCATAGCAACTCCTAAGACCTAACTCAGGAAGGATATTGCTTTGGTATAGTGAGGTGGGTGTTTTCTGCAGAAAAACGACAGGTAGGAAGTGCCTGGACCAATGACTAGGAAATCATACCTACAAACCAGACCTTTGAGATATACATAAAAAACCCAATCCTCGTCCTGACTGCATGTTGCAGGGTAATGTCAGTCTAAGTGAAGAGATTCTCAGCCTGGAGGCTGGATGTCCTATGGAGCTTGATTTTGGAGGAGACTGCCCTTTCCAGTTCTGTCCTCCCTGCCTTTCCCCAGCTTGCTGTATTGAGGCTGTATCACACTCCTGGAGGAGCGGGATTTCTTTCAAGTGAAAATTTAACCCACATTCTCATGTCTTAACCTTGTGATTTGTGTTTACTGTATTATTTAACCCTAAATAACTTTTCTGAGAAACCAAATCTGTCTGAGAAGTGTACCAGTTCCCTGAGTCAGAATGCTATTTGTCCACAGCTCCGAAAACAGAAACACTAGACCTTGTAGGGATTAGGCCTTGTAGGGTTTTATAGGCTAAAGCAGAGGTAATGATGCAAAAATTAATATCCTGGTATGGACAAGTGTGGATACCTATTCCTACTAACTCACAGGGACTGCAGATGGTAACAACACACCTAGGACCCTAAAGTCTTGTCTCTGAAACTTTGAGCTTCTTCCTTCACCCTTACTCCCTGTCTTCATGTACCAGCTTCACTTCTAACTGACCAAACTAGAATTGGCTAAGCCAATTGTTTTATGATCTGTCCCTCCCTGTTTTTTTGTTTTGTTTTAACTTTTCCAAGAAGTCTGGATGAAAGGGATGTGGGTCAGAACACTACCATCATTCTGTCACTCCTAATTTCATTCTGTTAAAGATTTTTGGAGTCACTTAGGCAGAGGCCTTGATTTTGGAAAAAAAATATATACTTTTAAGTTTTGACTCCAGAGGTAATTTCAGCTCAACTCAACACAGTTCTAGAAAATGAGTATGAAAGAGGAACCACCTCTTCAGTCATCTTCCTGGGGACCTTTGCTCCTTTCACCACATTTCAGAAATAAAGGATTTTTTAAATTGTATATCCTTTTATTGGTACATTTTAGGTGTACAATATAATGACATTCATCATTGGAAATTTGCACCTTTACATAATCTCTTTTGGTTCTTGATTTTTCCCCCTTCCCCTACCTTCCCTTCGCCCCTCAGAAATAAAGAATTTTAAGGGTGTGCTGAGGGGCAGGGACTAAAAGAGAAGGACAGCTGCAGTGGGATCCAAACCAGACTGTAAACCAGCCCTGTCTTCTCCTCCCTCCCATTCCTGCTAGCTAACTGATGCCTTCCATCACCTGCAATGGACAGGAAAGGCTGGTTATTGACAGTTGGGCAATCTGCACAATAAAGCTTAACGGTTTACATCCCTTTGTACGACTTTGTCAATGTTTTCAATGGATCGCCTCCCGGTGCCAGTCCTCACACTGCACTGACTCCTCTCTTCCTTCTCTTTCTTTTCAAGCGTGCAAACGTAAAGAGCAAGAACCAAACAAAGACAGGAACAATTCCCAGAAGAAATCCCGGCTGGTGTTCACCGACCTCCAACGCCGAACACTCTTTGCCATCTTCAAGGAGAACAAGCGGCCATCGAAGGAGATGCAGATCACCATTTCGCAGCAGCTGGGCCTAGAGCTCACCACCGTCAGCAACTTCTTCATGAATGCCCGGCGCCGCAGCCTGGAGAAGTGGCAAGATGACCTGAGCACAGGGGGCTCCTCGGCGACCTCCAGCACTTGTACCAAAGCATGATGGAAGGACTCTCACCTGGGCACAAGTCACCTCCAAATGAGGACAACAGATATCAAAAGAAAACACTAAGGAAAAAGACACCAGATTCTTAGCTGGGGCCCTTCACTGGTGATTTGAAAGCACAATTCTCTTGAAAATAAACTTCTATTCTAGCTGTAATCATAGGCCAGGTGTTCTTTTTTTGTTTTTAATGGCTACGGAGTCCAAGTGCAAGCTGAAAAGTAATCTCTTTGAACCAGACACTGTCTTCTGAGTATGCTAAGCAACCCAGAAACCCAAATGGGGCCTTCCTGGAGCCAGTTAATTCCAGTCTGATGCCAACCAAGCTCAGGATTGCTGAAAATGTCAACAGAACCACTTCAGGTCCTGTCAGCCTCTTGCAGTCAGAGTTCCCACAGCTAACAGTGATAATTTGGTCCATTTAAGGACTCCAAGTTTAGGCTTCCAAGACACTGCAATAGGAGAAGAATCTAGCAACAAGAATGACCTCATTTGCTTTCCAAGTGCTTAGCCTCATTATATCACAGTACACCAAAGTTCACAGCCATACCATTTAAAATTTCAGAACAGTAATTATTGAGCACAAGTTTTAAATATGGAAGTTTAAAAAAAAAAAACTCCAAGGACCTATTTTTTCAACTCAGGCATCTTCTCATTGAATGAGTTAGAAAGCTTTAAGTTGATCCAGTTTACAGTCTTTTCTTTACCTCCTGAAAATCTCATATGGTCTTGGATCCATCAAAAAAAAAACCAATGAATCAGTTCACTTGAGCTCAAAGTATCAAGCACAACAAAGATAAACAGAAGTAAGGAAGGTTCTGGATTCATTTTCTCGGGATTTTCAAGACACCTGTTAATGAAGTCATTAGGGAATCGTTGAGAGTATGGCTTCAAGCACATTTTGCAGTTTGCTACAAATTTTGTTTGTACGTAATGCAGACGCACACTCAGGAGGCCAATTTAACTGTTATGGTACATGGAGCAAATGTGCCATTTTAAAAGATCTAGATTTTTTTTTTTAAGATCATTAATGTGTCCTTCTTGGGTTATCAGTCATCTGGTTCCTCCTGTTGTGCATTATGACCACCACCTAATTCATTCTCATTCTTTCTGATTTGTGTTGTTACCTCATCCATCCCATTAGTAGGGATATTTCCAGTGTTTTCTAGAAACAATAATAAATCAAACTATACATGTTGCTCATGACTGTCATCTAGTCCTAACTCTCTTCCATTGTTGACTCATCCTTGCAAAACAACTGAATAAATCTGGAGAAAACACAGCACACCAAAGAAGCAGGATACTGCAAACCAAAGACATTTATGACTTGCCATTTTCTAGCCTAAAAATACTGTGATTACTTTTAGAAATCAGAAAACCTCTGCAACTCCAAATGGCATTCAGCTCTTGCATTTGGCGCACCATCAGGCTGAGCGGACCAGCTATGCCAAGAACGTTAGCCAAGCCACCAGGTAGTGGCTTTATCACGCCAGTTCTGGGTCCTGGCTGCCATCTTCCCACAGAAAGCAGAAGAGCGCCCACAGAACTCTGGGAGATTGCAAAGGTCATATGTGCATATTTACCAGTGAATGGCCCTAGGTGGGCACCATGGGGGTGTTCAGAGCAAGCCAAACGCTGCAATGATTCTTTACAGACACTTAAGACTGACTTTTTTATGAATTACTTAATCGAAACCAAAGAAACTTTTTCTGCACCTACTTCTGCAACAAACAGAACTGTCCCATTAAATGAATAAACAAATCCGTAAATCAATGGAAATCACCATCAACAAGAAGGAAGCACGCCAGAAAAAAGAAAACCCACAAAAAACAAAAATCAGCGCGACACACTGTGTTCAAACAGACCTCTTGGGACATTTTTTGGAAGCAGATTTGAAAGAAAGGGTTGAGACAAGAATTGAAGTAAGGAAGAGCCTGAATGGCTGCTGCTTCATTTGACAACTCACATGGTAATCTTAAAGTTGAAGATTGTCTTTAATTTGTGCCTATGCAGTTTTTCAAAAGAACACGGAACAGAGCAACAGAAACCTCAACAGCTACAATACCAAAGATGAGGATTTCTCACACCTTTTGTTTCAGTTCATTATCTTCTTTTGCCTGGCTAAAATACTAATAGCGCCATTGATCTGTACAAAGGTAACCAATTTTGTTTCTCTGAGCAACAAAAGGAAAGGGCCATTTATTTGATTTTATTGTTTCCTTTTAATTTGGTTTGATGGCTTTTTACCCCAACATGGAATCTCGCAAAAGCTTCCATGGACTCCAAGTTTAAGATGTAGGGATACTGAATGATTCTCCTCTCTCTGCGCAACAGAGTGTGGGGAACGGTATTGTCACTTGAATGTTCTTTTCTTAACTCTTAGACTTGGTTCTTTCTATGTTCAGAGTCTCATCATCAGGGGAGGAAAAGGGAGTAAGGATCAGGGGTAGGGGTCTTGGTGACACATCTGCTCCTGAGCCACAGAACCAAAGAATTTATAGAGGATTTACAGCCTGATCTTCATGTAATTGCTACATCTTAATAGGGCTTCATTTGGGGGTGGGGGAAACATGTAAAAATAATTGCCAGTTTCTACTTTTCTATTAGCTTTTTAAAAATCAGCTGTAAAGTTGCATTTCTAAAGAAAGATATATATAATATATGAATACATATATAGATCAACTAGACATTGGTGATAACCCAAAATTTTTGCTGTCCAAATTCATGTCTTGTTTTTGTCACATGCTTCAAGCACTGGATATTCAGTTCAGACTTTTGCTCGTTTCTCATGCCATCCCAGGGTTAATTTGCCACTGTGGATGATTTGGTGTATTCTGATTTCTATGAAAATTTCTGGTCAAGGTCAAAAGTGAAGTTTAAGCATTTCAACATTTAAACTGTTGATAAGAGGATTCATGGTATAAATGAATTTTATTTATACTTAGAGCCATCTCTATTCTATGCCTGCACCATGATTAAGATGGTGAGTAGGGTACATCCACCATACAGAGCTGGGCTGCTGACAGTGGAGGCTTGTCTTCTGTAACTGCTAGGAAGGCTCAGTGGTGCATTCCCACCAGCTGTGTGACATGACGCCAGCCCAGAAATCCATTCATTCTCCAGGAGATGCTGTCTCCATCAGGGTGTTCCAGATCCCTTAATGAGCAGATTCACCAGAGACTTCTCATGGCAACATCCATTTCCTGTTGCAGTGGGCTGATCAGGTTTCCTCGGGGTAGTAATTATCAATTTGCATTGACAAGCCCGTGTGTAACCACAGCTGGCACTGGGGTAGGGTAGTTGTGTTAGGGGGAGCTTTCACTCTTGGAGAGAAAACAGAGCAGGTTTGGGGAAGAGTTCTGGAGTTCTGCCCCTGGACTGCCCCATCACACACTGTGCCACCTCCTCACCCTTACCATTCAGGTTGCCCTTTGCAGGGGCAGCAGCCATGATACTATGAGAGAAAATGGTCCTCCATGGTTTTTGTGATTTATCCTGCCTGGGGATCATTTCTTGACTTTTCCCTTGTGTTCCTTTGTCCCTTGCTCATACTCCACGAATAGTTTGTCAAAGGGTCAAGAAAAGAGCATATTTCAGCAGAGGGTGGTTCGCACATAGATAGATAGAGATGAATTTTAAGTTGGGTATTTCTAAATGAATCCCTGTGACTTGTGGCCAATGGAAAATGGTTGTTCTTCTTGAGAACAGGTCGAGGAGCCAAGCCTGTTGATTTGGTTAGTGATTCTTTGACACACTAATATTAGCATCTGGGTCTGGCATCCCCTGAAGAAGTATAGGCCAAAAGAGCTGCCTTTGTGGCCTGACATTTCAACACTGGTCAAACCAGTGGTCTAGTGATCAAAGGAAGATGTCATTATTAAAAAATAAAAGGCAAGAATTTCCCTCCAAATACTCTTGGTAAATATCTCATACCAGATAATCTCATACTAGAAAGAAGTACTTGCATTTTTGAAAATTATTTCCATACACATATAAATACATGTGTGCTCGTGTTTATGTGTCCAAATTTTAGGCCCTGCAGAATTTCATCTTGTTAGAAATCTGAAAAAAAAAATGCTATATTGAAAGGTTATAGAATTTAACACAGTGAGTTTCTTGAAGGATTTAAAAAATTTGTTATAAGTTGTTAATTTCAGAAAAAATAACCAGTTGGAGTTGGTTATAGTTTAGAATCCATTTCCTCAATCCAAGAGAAATTGTAGGTATACCTCAGCCATCAGCAACAAAAGAGATGGCGAGAAGGAACAGATCTTAGGCAAATTCAACTCCTTTGAGGCAACAGAAGTCCTAATGCTCATAGCTATTGAGTAGAAAGATATTTTTCTTTATGTAATTAGGCTTTATTTTTGTTCTTAATGTGATTTTGGTACCAGGGATACAATTTTTTCATTCTAAGAAATTAAGAAAATCAGAACCAATACATTTTTAAAAGGAAAATGGCAACAATAATAACACTCAACATCAACATTTAAATGCTTACTCCAAAATGTAAGACTATTTTGGTTGTACCAAAGGAACAGGCTACCCTGAGCCAAGAAGGACCCAGCGTGATCTTTTTCTCTGGAAAAATCACAAAGTTGCCTGTACAGCAACTCTTCTCTTATAGGCTCTTGGCAGTTACGGGCTCAGAGAATCCAAGCTCATGTTCATTTCAGTCTAAAATAAAATTAAATTATGAAGGCAAATGTGGTAGATACGCATTTTTCTTAATCAGATGAGACCAGGTGTGTTCAGGGTGAGATGGCCATAGACTCTAAATCAAGCAATATATTCCAAAGCCAAAAGTAAATACTTTTAAAATAATCAACCATTTTACCTTGTCTATACTGGGCATCCACCTTTTAATGTCAATAAATTAAAATTGAGCAGACTTTTAAAATTCAACTACTTGGGTAGAGGGAGATACCCACTTTTGAAAATGTTGGTAGGATTACAGGAGTATCCGTTTGACTGTCATTGTTAAAGTGTCATGACAATTTGCCTCTGCAGTGAACTTGCATCTCTTTGGTCTTCAGGAGGTTGTACAACTAATGGGCTCTTTAAACGCTGGAGAAAAAGAGATGCTACCTGTGGTTAAGGTTGACCACGGGGCCCAAACACAAGTGCTTTGACAGTAACCCTCTGGATTCATAACAGACCAGAGCTGACTTCTGCTCTTGTTGCTGATGCTCTGATTCGTTTGTCAGCCTGACCAGGAAAGTGAGTGGGAAGTGGTAGAGGAAAACAGGATAGAGCTGGCAAACTATAACTTTCTGATGCTTATGGGCAAAACTGGATAGCTTAATAATTTTATACCTTTAGTTAAGACCAAGTCACCTCTGAAACAATAGGCGATTCCAGCTTTAAAATAAGGCCACGAAAATCCTTACTAAAGCAGAACAGTACCCCTGTTGGTTGTATAAATTTCACAAGATGTTGTTGGCTTTAAATATGGATGTTCCAGTGCCTACTGTCTACCAATGACTTGTTTCTTTTCAAGGTGGTCATGGTGGAGGGAAAATGTTTGTTTTAGAAAGCCCTAAAATATTTCTGAAATACCAAAATCATTATCAAATTAATATAGGACCTCAGATAGATGCAAAATTTTTAATTGAGGCTGGTGGGCTCTGGTATGAACCTTACGGGATTCTAAATGCTCATTGTCCTCTGATATCAAAATGATTCTGACAGCCTGAGGCAAGTGAAAGCTACAGCCCAACCCTTCCCTTGTAGGTTTTGAGTTAGGTTGATTGAAATTAACCAGCTAATATATTTTTAGTGGAGAATATGTGTGTAAGAAAAAACAGTGCTTCAGCCTTGTTCATTCCCCAGAAGTCTTTCACTTGGCTCCATTTTTAGTGACAGGCATTTCACATAGCATAAATCTTGGTCGAGAAGTTTGCCTAAAGCTTATACTGTCTGTCAGCTTGGATGTATACAGATTTAGAGACATATTTTGACATGTATTTTCGTAGTTGTCTTACATCTACACATTACCTATAGGTATCTAGACTGTGTACATGCAAGTGTGTACAGACATACTTAATACATATATATTGTAATCTGTTACAATAAATAAATTTTAAATCATCTTACAACATGTATGTGGTACTTTCACAATGTACAATGTTTCCATTATTATTTATTGTAACATTGAAAACCAAAGTGCAGGAATATAAAAAAAGTATCCCAGCATCTTCTTTGTGTACATTTGAAATTACTTTCATTTGGGCACATCCAAGATAAACTCAATTTATAAAGGAACCTTGGATATTATCTAATCATCTAAGTTAGAATGATGATGACTTCGGTTAAATAGCTTTATTCTGGATTTCTCATAACTAAAGCTAAATCCAAAGATCTGGAAAAGGGCAAAAAAAGAAAAAAGAAAAGAAAAACAGAAAAAAAGTGAAAAAAGAAAAAGACAGAAAAAAATAGCAAAATAAGCGCAAACCAGTGGGAAAAGGTAGGCTCTGGCTTCCAAGGTTGGGATAATGAGTGTGTGGTCTTCTGGCACTAGCACTAGCACTAGCTAGTGGGGAGTGGTGATTATTTTTTCTCATGATTGTCACATCTAAATGGTCTTCAACATGAGAAAGTTTTAGAGGTTGTACTTTTCTGCTTTATATTCATTTGGACTGTAGAAAGGGATTATACAGTTTGTTCATCAAAACTGAAGACATCCCCCAAAAATATTTTTTATCTTGTCTCTTTGGGTTATGACCCAAGCAAAATATCATTATGTAATTAATTTATTTAAATTAGTGTCTAGTACACAGATGTATAGGATTTGGGTAATTATTTAATAATTTTTTCTTTAGTTTGAGTTTACTGCTTGTACTTATTTATCAAAATCTAGACCAGTGGTGCATCAGAGATGCAAAATCCTATTTAGAATATTCTTGAAATTTAGTTTGCTTTATAAGCACTGAAATTCTGTTACAGACAGGGAAGAAATACAGGTTACAAAAGGAGAGAATTTGGGGTATTTTTCCTTATTGAATTAACTTTTAAAATAGTTTAATGATTATTAAATTATTTAATTTAAGTTCACAGCCCCACCTGGTACCAGGCGAACTTCACCTCTTACTGGGGGCCTCAGAGCCTTCATATTGTAACTTATTTATTTAACTTATTCAGCATCTGTGAAAGATGCATTGTATAGTTTATATTTTTTATTTAAAACAACAGAGAGCACTGCAGTTTGTTTGCTGTCAGAACAACAGAGCAAATTTTGTGGACAAGCAATGACTACTCAACCTGAACCTGTGCATTCAGAAAACATAAGCTGAGACCCTGCTTCACCAGCCTGGATTTCGGGGCTTCTATATGGAAAGTGGAAAAATAAATTTTAAAAAAATCATAAACAAAAAAAGAGAGAAACCCTTAACACTAGCTGCTTCCAAGAATGAACTCTGTGTGTGTGTAAAGCAACAAAACAGAAAAGGAAAAAAAAAGCAGAAAAAAAGAAAAAAAAAGGAAAAACTTTCTATTTCTAGTGAGAACCAAAGAAGGCTACCTCACTGACTTTTTCCATTTGTAATTTTAATCGTGTTGATGACACCAAAGATACCAAAGATTTCTTTCTCTGTGCGGTCTGCATTTTGCTTGTGCTCTTTTATAATTTAACTATTCTCTCTGACATATGGTATGTACAGCCACAGCTCAGATACCCCAAAGAAATAATTATCTATGTGATGGTGGCTGCTAATTTGGAAAGGGATATTTTCTGTGTTTCTCTCATTTATTTGCTCTCTCCACATGATCAGGACGCAAGTTTAGATGCTGCTTTAATTGGATTCCCTAAATTATGATCCCTAAATTGATGAAGACTGGTAGGAGAGGGCCTTCAGTTCTAGCCATGACCTCTGTCCCTCCTGTGGAGCTATCACAGGAAAGAGACAAGTACTGGGTCATAGAAATTCTAACCATTGGATTGTAGAGTAGGAAAAGGACTATAGGATTCATTAAGTCCAGCCCCCTATGTCCTGGAGAAATGAAATCATTATCCAAGTCAAATTACACCAGAGTCACAGCCACTAATCTCCTAGCTCCACCCCAGTGCTCTGCATATTGCTGTCAAGTAGGCAAGTAGGAAAGTAGCAATCCTGTAGCTGCTTATTATCTAACATTCTCATCCTATAAGGATAGTTACAGGTACTTTCAGTATCTTATCCAGTTACATCTCCACAGAGGTACATATGATCCAGTGCTTAGTAAGGTCGACAGTCTTGAAATATTAGGGCTCATTTGGAGGTTTCTAACCTGGGAAGTGCATATTGATCCAAACAGTGCGATCACTTTTGAACCTCCCCATTAAAAGTGTTGTATAAACAAGCTTTTAATTCAGTAGGAAGAGAGAGTTCATTCTTGGCCCATTAAATTTAATTATTATGGACATTTTAAGGTCAGTATTTACCAAGAAAGAGAACATGACTATAGTTTGCACATACAGCATTTCAGTGATCAGCTTTTTCTTTTATTCTTTTTTACTTATAGATGTTTAAATTTTATTCCTAAGCCAAAGGTATATTTTCAAGAGCCTTACATTTTTGATGCTAAACAGCTACTCATTGTAAATGAAGAATGAGCCCAAGATTTCAAATGCATGGATATGCCATTTTTAAAAATGGTTACTTAGGGCTCGGGATTTAGCTCAGTGGTTCCAGCGCCTGCCTTGCAAGCGCAAGGTCCCAAGTTCGATTCCCAGTACCAAAAAAAAAAAATGGTTACTTAAAGTTGCTTCTCTTTTTTCTTACTCATGAAATTCATTGGCCTTTTTCAAGTTTCTTTGATTCCATTAAATGATTAAATCACTATTAAGATCATTCATCAAAGTGATTTGTATGTTAACCAATTAATCTTTTCAGCTTTTGACCCAATTTGCATGTGGGTTTTAGACACATGCAAATATCCACCACTAATCTATATAGCTCCTTATTGAATACTAGAAATTTGTATTTCACACCCTTGAGCTTTTTAACAGACCATTTAGACAAGCTAAAAAAGGAAAAGACCAACTCATCTGTTTCATTCAGGAGTGTAGCAAATAGAGGAATTTAAAAGATAGATTGACAGACTATAAAAAACACTCAATTACCCTCTTCCTAAAATTCCCAACCACCTTCCTGACGTCTGTGAAAGTTCCTTCCTGTCAACTAAGTCTAAGGTTTCATCCTCTTACCTATACAAAGCAAACCTGTAAGGCCTTCCTTCCAAACAGCAAATTGCTTTGGTTTTCTCCCCAAATTCCTATCAGAAATCGAATGCTCACAATACTTGGGAGACAACAAAGATGACCTAACTCATCAAGCAGCAGACTGCTTCTCCATAACAAGCAAACGTCACCTCCCCCACCTTCCTACTACAGACCTGCTATATGAAGAAACTAGAAAGAGCAATGGCAGCCTGAACACAGAAAATATCCCTAATTGGCAGACCCCTCCTCAACAAATCCCCCTCAGCCTCATGCTTCACTTGCAAAGTGTGACATAACCACGGGACGAGTGCCTTGCTTGAACCAAAGCAACGATTTAGCCAGTCTGGACCTCTCTGTGCTTTTTTTAATCCTTCCTGTGAATACCTCAGCTTCAACTGGGCCTCCATACAGTAAATTGGTGGGCTTATTGTACTGTGGTGCTTTGCAATGCAACCCTGCAAAGAACAAGAATTGTACTAATACCAAAGGTTCTTTCTCTATGTCTCCTTCTTCTGCCTCCCTATTCTTCCCCTTTTCTAGTTCATGGTTCCAAAGCTTTAATATGAACCTGGGCATGTTGGCAATGCAGACCGCGCAATTCCTTACCGAATTTTCTCAGATATACCTCATAGATAATAGTGTTTAGAGTAATGTTATTATAGCGTATGTAATAAATTATTCACCGTTTCTTTTGGTAACTGTAATTTAAAAAAAGAAAAAAGAAAAAAAAGCTTTATACATTTTAGGTTGTGCTTTTGTAATAGACAAACAGGTGCGCTTAAAAAAGAAAACGTATGTTCTTTTTTTCCCCCTTTGGATTTTATTTATTCTGGATTGGGGAAAGTTGCAGAATGAGCCCAAAGTTTACAGTTTCATATTTTGCTGAAGAAACAATCTGTGTTCATTTGCTCTGTTGAAAAAAAATTATTTTCTACATTTGTGCTACTTGGTCTAAACAATGAATTGTTCTGTGTTAACAGTGTAGTATTATAATTAGCAACTGCCAATCAGTGCTATAATTTTATGCATGAAGCTAAAAATTTTAGCAGTGTGATGCATTGTGGTCTTAATAGCAACATTTTTCATTTTGAACTAGATCTTCCCCCTTTGGTTCTATGGACATTATTTATGCATGGGCGCCTATTGTTTGTTAGCAGTTGTGGAACAGTTGTGTATACATTAAACTGTGAAAATGTACACAGTTCAGCCTCAGACAGTGGTAATAGTGGTTTTATTGGGAGATATCTCACTTCAAAAATACCTTTACATCTGTTGGGATTTCAAAATGAGTTAGATTAAATCAGGTTCAAATTTTATAATGAAAAAGGACATTCCAAGTTTGAGTTAGCCAACTTTTGTTACACAAATTGGGATCTTCATAACCCAAATATATCACTATAGATGATAGGGGTTTGAAAATGAGCATTGACGAGCAACTCACTTCTGTGTTTTTAATTTCTACAGAAATTACATATTTTATCTTTATATTCACAACCTCAGGCCTAACTGGCCATGTATATGTTTATATTAATTCATCCAGTTCTAATTCTCTTGGGTCTCTGTTTGGAATGGCTATTTTTGACTGTGTGGTTTCTTCTAATATTTTGCTGTTAGGTCAGTTCCCAGTAGAAACTCAAATAGCATCAATATCAACAATTATTCTCTGGCTTTTTTGGTCCACTCTCATGAACATCCCCACCAATTTATAGTTCCAGTGATTTAGGCAGAAATACTTGGCCAATCCCTAAAATTTTACCTGTGCAGCTGTATCATGGATGTTGCTTCCTAGAGTCAGGGATGATTCTGGCTTAAGTGTTACCTGCTCTACAGTGTTACACCTCTCTTCAACAGAAGAGTATAATACATTTTCAGACCCAGTTTAGGGAAACTATCTTTAAATCCTCAAATTATCTGATATTTCTGTATCCTAAGAAGTATTTTTCAGTTACAGTGGATTAGGAAAACATTTTTGTATTTTTATATTTGGGTTCTGAGATCCAGTCTCAAGGTTCATGGTTATTTCTTCAATCAATATGCCTATGTAAAGCCAAATCAGCTGCCAAGCAGACTTCATTTTCTATTGGACACAATAGAAAAATCTAGGAAACAATGATGGAAACAGAAATCTGCCATGCAAAATACTGGAAATCACCGACAGACAGTAGAGCATTCACGTTATCTGTCAATGAGAATATGTTGGGAATGTGCTTTCTTTAGTAATACAAAGAAACATTTTCATTTGGCCTTATAAAAGTAAATTGTGATACTGAAAGCTTTGTAATATAGTCTTTCCATTTTTCCTTTTGTTAATCTGCCAAAGATGGGAATGGATACAAGAACTTTAAAATCAGCTTTTGTAAGACAGTGAGTGATTGTAATAGTGTTTAATCATTCAGAAAGCTTTATATGTTCTTCTACAATAAATCAAATCAATATTTGTTTCAGTAAATTCTCCTGATACTCACAAACCTACAAACTGTTCCTCTTGATGCAGATATTGTAGTATCTACAAAGTTCAAATGTATTTTCCAACCAGAGCAAACAGAGGAGTGTCTGAGACATGAACATGTCCAGCCCTTTTTATTACAGGCAATGCAAGGGTCTGGCTCACTAGGATTTGCCAAGACTTGTCTTATGAAATTTGAGGTATATTTTGTTTGCCATTTTATTGTCCTTTTTTTTTTTTAACTTTGTGAAAAGTGGTATGTTGAATCAAGTGTAAGCTGAGTTTTCCAGACAGCTGAAGTAGCTACATTGTGAATGTTATTTTGTTATTAAAGGGTTTTTACTCAATGCTTTGTGCCAATGGATGTCCTTTTCCTTGGAGATGCAGAACTATGGAATTATCTCACTGTAGCCTGGTTTTCTCACCTGGCCCAGGTCTCACCTGGCCTAAAGAAGGTCGAGGGCTAGAAGGTAGGTTTGAGAGACTAAAAAGAGATCTCCATATCTGTCAGCTTTAAAGAGAGCTGGGCCCAAACTCTCTAACCTCACTCTCTTTGCATCCCAACATCTCTCTGAGATCCCTCAGCCTTGAGCACATGCCAGCATGAAGACAGACCCCAATTCATATAAAGGAAGAAAGAAAATGGCAGCCTTACATCTTCTGTGACCTACTGGGCACTCTCCCCACCAAAGCTGAGGTGGCCCCCCCTGTTCTTCCTGGGCCACCACTGAAAGACTTTCTTTAGGCCCAGGTTTATTCAACGCAGTGGGGATCTTCCAAAGCAAAACCCCCCTTCCCATGCATCTCCTGCATAACATTTAGCTATCCCATCCACAACTGTTGATGATTTTTTGAAAGGCAAAAAAATGGTACAGAATAGGATTTTCTAATGTTTTATTTCTAAACTACATTTCAGTTTCCCATTTTGATCTGGAAATCTTCAGGAAGGAAAAGGAGACCCTGCTATCTCTCTAGGCCTTGCTCCCATCTCAGGGTGGGTATGCACATTGCCATGCTGTTGCTGTCTCTTAGAGAGTTAGGCTAAACCCTAACTATAGAACCAAACCAGAGCACAGCCCATCAATGCTTACATTATCTCTGCTTGTAATACCCACTCAAAGAGTTGTAGAACTTGGGTTCTTTCCTCCAATAATCCTTGCTTTGGCTCAATTGGCATTTAGCTCAAGAGTCAGCTTACTATCCAGGCAAGGTTATTTTCAGATCGTGTCAGGGACCCTGCTACTTGGGAAGAAAGATGGAAGTATCCAGAGACACACTAGCCGCTGCATAGGTAGTTACATCATTGGTAGATACTTTCTTCAAGGTAAAATATGATTTCCTTTCTTCACTAGGTTGTGTTTTACTCTAGTAAAACACAAGTTCTCATCATGAGAAGTTATAAAACACCTTGCATATTGGGATTTCTGAAACAAGAGTACAAGCTTTACATGTGAGAAATTGATAAAGAACTGTTGAAGTTTGAAGAAAGGGCCTAATACAGTAAATCCCTAACTTATGAACATTTGAGTTGGGAACTTTCACAGGTGTACTGTACAAGACTCATTTTTTCAGATACCAACAAATCTGACTTATGAACCTTTTCCCAGAATGGAACTCATTTGTAAATCAGAGACTTACAGTACAGATATAATTTTGGCACTGGCTACTTTTTTAATCCCTGTCCCCAATCACCAAATCTTATTTTCCCCCTCAATCCCAGAACATTTCAGTGTTTTCTCCACAAATCTAGGATGCCAAAGAATTTCATGGGCAAGGGATCATTAGGAGTTGACCAACATTCTAATTAGTTCTCTTCCTTGTCCTTTGCTTTTCTCAAAGAAGGTGTTTCCCTGGACTATGGAGAATGCCTCGGCCTAGCTAATTTTTAATCTTTCCTATTTGAATATTTCTATCTAAATTAATACTTTACTAGTATAATTTCTATGGATTCTTTCTTGGTCAGTGATTTCTCAGAAAAGAAATTATCCTCCTACAAAAGTGAATGAAAACAAGTCTAATATCTTTTCTTTTATCCAGTTTTTTCAGGATCTAAGTCACTCCTGGCTGTTTTCTCACATTAGGTGTTGGCCTCAGATGTGTTCATTTTTGGTATTAAAAATGTCATTTAATTTCACATGCTGGCCTGTGGGGCTTGAATCCTTTCTTCTAGTCTGTTGATTGCATTATGGTATGACTACAATGAGAGAAAGGAGGTAAAGAGAGAAGAATTTGCCCCAGCTCTGTTTAAAGTTTAAAAAGGAAAAAAGACCCATGAGGAAATGGCTGTATAAAGTATGGGTCCTCATGTCAAAGACCATATTCTTCTGCCACCTGCTTGCTCAGTGGCTCTTCCAGAAACTCAGCACTTTAGTAGAAACCCAGCTACTTCTCATAGGTCTCTGACAAGACTCAACAAGGACAAGAGATCAGAGTCATGTGCATACCTCCTGTTCTTTTTCTTTGCTTTTATCGATATGATCTCCAAGAAAATCATAGTGAAAAACTTAAAAACTGTTAACTTTAGTCAATCCCTTTGACATCACTTCTCATGCTTAAAAGCAGGAAAACACACCCCTAAAATTTGTACTCCCTTCTGTTTTGAAAAAAAAACCTCAAACACTGATCCATATTATTTTCTTTTCACCCTGAGCTATATTTCAAAGCATATTGTAACCCAGATTCTGCCCCATCTCAGACACATGAAGTCAGATAATGAAAGATGTTCTAAGGACAGACATCAGGGCATATGTTCAGTGGCTGCCCTGATGTCCTCGTAGGGTGAGGATCACACTTCATTATCTAGAGAATAACTTATCAGTCCTTCAGAAGATTTCTTTGAATGTTAGTTGCATTTTCAAGTTTGCTCATTTCCCACCCTGATGTTTTGTCTACAACATTGCTTACACTGGATTATTTCTATTTTTCCTATCATTAAATGGTAGTGCTGTAAATTCTGCAATTAATGTCAAATAAACTACTTAAATTCATTGAGTATGGCTCCTTTTCCTTCTTTCTCTTTTGTTAGAAAGAACTGAGCACTTAACTGGGTACAGTGGTGAGTGCCTATAGTCCTAACTACTCAAGAGGCTGGGACAAGAGGATCACTCAGGGCCAGAAGTTTGAGACCAGTCTGGGCAACATAGTGAGACCTTGTCTCAAAAAAAAAAAAACAAAAAAAACAAGAAGAATTTAACACTCTTCCTCCTACTGCATCCCATTATATTTTCATAGAGAACACTAAAGTTATTGTACTTAATGAGACTGCAACTTCCATCCCTGAGAGGATGCAAGTCACATAATCAACAAATCTGTTGTCCTTGTTATCAATCACAAAAGGTTAGGGATTCCCCATAAATTACTTTGTTAAAACTTTAGAGATAACCTATCCCAACCTTATTTTTGTACAGATTTTATGGGATCACATGTGGCAAGTCAAAAGGAGGATCAGATCATTGTCATCCTGTAGAAAAACCAAGAAATACAGGCAAATTTGGAGCCAGAGGCCTCATATGGAATGTAGACTCATCAAAAATTAGTTGTATGTCTTTAAGAGTCATGCAAACTCTCTGAGTTTCAGTTTCTCCAAGCATATAAGTTAAGGTCATATAGAATAAGTTATATATAAAGTTTTTCCAGCTTTTTGTTTGTCAAAAAGTTTTGGAGACATTTCTATTTTTTGTACAGAGAAGATTTTGGATTATTATTTTTTATAAATTAACAAATCAGAGTTCTTTCATTTTAAATTTAGATACCCTCTAGTTTCAAATAATTCTCATTAAGTTAGAGTTTTGATCCAGCCCACCTGTCACTCAGCCCATGAAGCATTGGTCCCTTTAGAGTGTTGATTGTCACTCTGGCTGTACGTTAGAATCACCCAGAGAGCTTTGAAAACATACTAAGTCCATCCTAGACCAGTCAACCTGATTCAATGTGAGTGAGCCGCAAACAGGGTTGTATCAGTTTGCTTTTGCTGCATAACAAACCACTCTAAAGCCTAGTGGGTTAAAAGAACAACACTGTATCATATGGCATTCCATAAACATAAACAAATATTGTGTGTAGATTAAAACTAAAAATTAAAAATAATTGTAAAACGTTTTAAAACAGTAATTGTGTGGGTAGCTTGCAAATCTTTCAGTTGTCAGTTTGAGTTGATCCCACCTGGGTGGTCATTCTCGTCTTGGGTGAGCTCACATCTACTGTCAGCTCCCTCATTGGCTGGGAGCCGGAAAGTCTCGGTGGCCTTAATTTGGACAGTAAGCTTTGTTATTTTTCATCTCCCAGTGGGTTGGGCAGCAGGCTCTAGGGTTCAGGCAAAGTACATACAGCCTCTTGAAGCCTAGGCATAGAACTGGTACAATCACTACTGCTGAATCGTCCTAACAAGAAAATCAAAGTCCAGCCCAGATTCACAGGGTGAGGAACGGGAAGAGGTTCCACTTCTTAATGAAAAAGCAACAAATCACACTGTCAAAAGAGGAGTTAAAGACTGCAGTAATTTTTTCATTCTACCAGAATGCATATTTTTAAAAGCTCTTCCAGAGATACTGATATACAGCTAAATTTACAAAACAACCACACAGCCTACTGTTTCCCCACTTTTTCCATAAACCCAACGCTTATCTGTGTCAACTCTCTCAAATACTTTCATTGTATAGTAGGGACTCACTTTATGAAAAAATAATTTACAACTTCTATATGTGCAAATAATTATTACCCATAGGCAGCAATTATGGAAGTTGAAAAAAATCTCCCATGAACCAGAGTGAATTAGACACTTATGACAGAGTAGCACCTTACAGAACAGTTGGATAAACATTCCCAGCTTATGCCAAAGCTAAACTAGGTGATCACCAAACCCTCTCCCACCTTTACTATCCCCAGCCTCCACTGTCACTCAGAAAGTGAAACAGTGACTGGAGCTGACAAATTTCAAGGCTAAAGTTTTCTGGTCTCCGATTAGTCCTTTCAGGATAGCCAAAAACAGAGAAATATCATCATCTAGGGAAAACCCTTGAAATGATAGAGTGGGCTCATTGGAGGAAAATATGTCCTTGCTTTGGTAGCTCAGTGACATGAAGCCATCCACTCATCTAGCCTTTGGTTAAAGCCATTTGATGATACGGAGCATCCTTTAGTCAAAAGGCCCTGAATTATTGGTTCAGCTGTTACAAATACTTTCTTCCTTTTACTGCTCCCTCGACTCTTCTCTCCTTAAAAAGGGTCTATATCCAAGGAAGTGAGTCATTTGCAAGAAGAAAATTAAACACAGGAATAAATCCACATGGACCCATCAAGCACAAGTAAGCACTTGTTAGTCCACTGACCATAATTATTTCTAGAATTAATAGTGATGGTGGTTGACTGGGAGTGTAGCTCAGTGGTATAGTGCTTGCCTAGCATGCACGAGGACCTGGGCTCCATCCCTAGTACCACAAAAATAAATGAATAAATAAATAATGGTGGTGGTAGCCCACCGTGGTGGCAGCCACTGTGCTGTCACATCTGCAGTTCTTCATTGCCCTACACATCAACCTTGCAGGGTGCACATATTAGAACAGGAACCATTATTATGCCCTCCTCACAAATACAAAACCTGGGGTGCAACAGCATAAGGACCACGTGGTAGCTGTAGCATCTGAACCCAGGAATCAGGGTTGATCTTGTGCAACTGGCCACCCAGTGTTGCACTTGGAAGCCTGGCGATAAATCAGGCATGCCTCATTTGGTTGCAGTGATAAGACATATACCACCACATCACTCCTGCTGTGGAGCCATAACTTCTGTATTATGAATAAGTGGTAAAAAGAAACCAAAAAAAAGCCAAGAGTTCAGAGAAATGAGGACCATGCCAATCTGGAATGGTAACAGAAAATAAACAAACTAACAACAACCACAAAAAACCTCTCATTTCATTAAGATTTCCAAGTACTACATTTTTATTGTTAAACAGAGCTGAGCATAACTCAATTCATGAGGGATTACATTCCTGGCCTCAGGAAACAGTTCTCAAATATACATGTTCTTCTAGTTAGTAATATTTAGATGTCTGAATCCTGCCTATATTTATACTTCTATCTGTAATTTGGGAGAAAAAAACTCGGAATTTTGCATCAGAAGATTTTAACTCATGTCTGAGGTCTACCTCTTACTAATATGTACCTCTGAGAAAAACTTAAATTCTGTTCTATAAATTTGAATTAAATCAGCCTAGTTCACAAAGCTATTGTATCAAGAAGCTTGATATATATGGACAGGAGCTCTCACTATCATATTAAAGACAACTAGCATTTTATAAAAGAGAAATCTGGAGCTTGGAGAGATTGGATAACTTGCCCTAAGCAGCACAGTAATGGAGCCAAGATTTGAGCCAAGGACTGTCAGCCTCTAAACATGCCTGAAAGCTCATGAAAGTGTTCACTAACCATAGATTCCCCAAGTGAAAAGAGAGACTCATGTTATGGTATTTGTGGCAATCCACATCTGCGAATACCAAGTTATAGACTGTTACTAAACAGTTACCCTTGATAGTAGAAGTATAACTAATAGAAAAATTTAAAAGCTTGTTGCTTCTGCCCTGAAAGGGCTATTCATATAAACTGTCAAGAATTGATTTAAGTCAATTTGCCCACATGTGACACTTATATTATTTTTGGGAGCTAATAGTAGCTACTCAAAGGTTTTGTGATGGACAAGAGTTACTAGCTCCCTCATGAGTCCCTACTAGATCCTAAAGAAAGTAAGTCCAAGACTAAATGCTGCCACATACAGATATTTATTTAACATATTTTAGTAGGAAATAGGTACAGAACCATGCCTACCATCTGCCTCAAAGGTTCAGTGAAATCTGAGCCTTTTCTACTATTGGGGTTCTAGGCACACTCCAGATACACCTAGCCACACTCCCGAGGCAGGCTGCTGTGAGCCCTTGGGCAGCGTCAGACAGTAGGAAACCTCCCTGCCTGAGGACTGAACATAGGAACTTTTAGGATCAACTTCCTGTATATCCCACAGTGGGGCAGGCTAAAGGCTCTCCTGGAGTCTCATACCCTGTGCTGCCAAGAGGGGAGTGCAGGGCTTCTCCAACCCACTGTCTTAGGCAACTTTAGTTTTACTAGTCACCAGAATCTGTGCATAACATTTTTTGTGATGATTAATAAGAGATTATTTTCACATTGAAACATACTTCTGGCATGTGCTAATTAGCAGAGCTTCAGTGTGACTGAGATGTAGGTGACTGAAGCATCAGCCACTGCCCTGGGGTGGGATTGCTCCAAACAGATACTCACTGACTCCCCAGGGGTGCACATTCTTGAATTAGGACAACTTAGATCCGTAGACCAAAGCTTGCACAAACTGACATCTGAGAAACAGCAAACTGGCTGTGCTGAGGTCAGTTAGAAAGTCACAGCTGTTGAAACAGAAGTTCATCTTTATTCACACCCTGCTAGAAAAGATTGAACAGCATGTGTTAATTTCAATACAAATACTGATAGTTTACATTTGCATCGAAAAAATACTTTTCTGTCATTTATCTCATTTCCTCCTGTGTCCTTTAGAGTAGGTATTATTATCATTGTTATTGGCACTAAACAATTAAGTGATAAAATTTGAAACCATCTCCTTATTCATCTAACAGCTTATATGTATAGATATCTACTCTGCACCAGATGTTGTGCTAAACCCTTTTTGTGGTCTATCTCTTCTTGTTTTCCCAATGACCCTATGAGGAAGTATTACGATTATCCCCACATTAAAAACAAAGGAGCTGGTGTTGACAGAAACAAAGTTAACTGCTGCAGGTCATACACTAGGCAGGCTGACTCCAGGGTTAAACTCGTATTTGTGTGGCGTTTCCTTAGGCTCACATCTTGGGACTCCTACTCCTGTGCTCTTACAACCAGAAGTCCTGGCAGCTGAGCAGCAGAGATGGATAGGAGTAAGGGTAACTAGTTTAAATGCTCTCCCCACATCTCCTCCAGGGGCACTCA